AACTGTACCATGCGGTGAAAATAGATATGTTGATGCTCTTGCCAATCTTGTCGTCGTGCTTTCAAAACCCTATTACCAAATAATTTCAGTTCCAGTTTGTCAAAGATGGGTAATACCTTTGTTACTCCCTGAAATGGAGGAAGTTACTACCATTTCAGTAGTGCAAGTTGAAAATGAAGATTGGAGGCAACCTCTGATTGATTATTTGCAATATGAAATATTACCAAATGACCCACGTCATAAAACTGAGATACGACAGATAGCTCCTCAATTTATTTATTATAATGGTATCCTATATCGTCGTTCATTTGATGGTATTTTCTTGCAAAGTTTGGACGAAGATGAAGCTGCTCAAGCACTCGAGGAAGCTCATTTTGGAATCTATGGTGCTCATCAATCAAGGCCTCAATTACATTTCCGCATAAAGAGAATGGAGTATTACTGGTCCATTATGGTGCAAGACTCAATGAGTTACGCTAAGAAATGTCAAGCTTGTCAGTTCCATGCCAACTTCATTCACCAGCCACTTGAACCATTGCATCCTACAATCGCACCATGGCCTTTTGATGCATGGGGACTTGATGTCATAGGACCTTTAACTCCAAAATCGTCAGTAGGACATCTTTATATCTTAGTAGCAACTGATTTTTTCTCCACGTGGGCAGAAGCGGTTCCTCTTAAAGAAGTAAAAAAAGAGAATGTTGTCAAATTTATTCAAACAAATATTATATATCGGTATGGTGTACTGACTTGATCCGAAATGTGTATACCCAAGTGCAGGTGGTCAAGTTGTAGTAATAATTCGGTTAAGTCCGAAGTCGAATCCACAGGGAACTATGATTGGTATTTTGAAGTAAACAATAATAGAGACCAAGTAACTAGAAATTTCGAGAGTTTGGAGTGGTGAGATTTTCTTGAATAGAATAAAAGATTCTTTTCAAGAGTTTTCTAGAAAAAATATAAGATTCTCAAAATGTAACAGTCATCCTTTAGCTCGAGGATCAGGACATGTAATAGAGTATCCGTTTTATTATGTTTGTGTTTTATAACTCAATTAACTCTCATGTCAACAGCAAGTTAATCGGAAGATAAAGATGGACTATAAGAATTAAGCACATGATTTCGATGCCTTTTTAGAAGTTTACAAGAATTGTCTGTGCCAAGACTTAACCTGTCTACAAACAAACAAGTGTTTCTATAAAGCATCCAACCATGACATTAATGATCCATTCTTTGAATAAAACGCAATAATGGTGGGGATTGAAAGGTTGTCATGAAGAGCTAGCCGGGGTATTTTCCTTGAACCAACGGATTTTTCTATGCAGGAGGCATCCGTATCACAGATGGAGCCCTTGGTTATACAAAGTACCTCAACTTTGCTAGATACATTCAATCAACCAATGAACAGGTGAAGTATAAAGCATTAAAACATGAAGAAGTTGCACAAACATAACTTCCGGATAATCTTTACATATTCATCACCTCTTACTAAAGAGTGAATGAGGAACTACTCACTTTTCATGGCCTTGACAAAGCTAAAAAAGTGAGTGCTACTCATCCCTCTAAGTAGAGAAGCTACTAAATGAAGCAAACTAAACAAGAGCTTATCTTTAATGAAAAATAAGTGAATCACTTTCCATCCTTTAGGGCTTTGGTAAAGCTCTAGAAAAGTGGAAGAGTTTCACTCTTCTAAGAAAGAATGATGCTCAAGCAATGGAATTGAAATACATGAACAATAAAAGTAAAAGAAAGGTAGTTACTTTTGGAGGGTTTCCACCACAACCAAAAGATGAACTATCCCTCTTGATACTTTATAAATAAAAGCAAGTACAACTACAAGGGGAGTCTAAGCCTCCATCGTGGTTGTCACAACATGCATGTAAAGACTTAGCATAAGTAAATAAAAGACTTCAATTACAGGGGGAGTCTAAGCCTCCATCGTGGTTGATATAAATGCAAAATGAAAACATAAACATGAAATGTTCAAGAACTAGACTACTAAAACACTCTTACTTTACAAGAACAAGGATTGCTCCCCCTTTTCTCTACAAGAGGAAGAATGCCCTTTAAGCTCCCAACATGGGAGTATTTATAGGCAAGGAAGGGGAGGGGGAGGGTAGGAGATAAGAGAGGATGAGTGAATAGTGTTTGCCGCCCATGGGAACCAACTACTCTGCAGGCAGTCTACAGAGGACGTTCGAACGTGAGATACCATTCGAACATGAGATACCGTTCGAACGTTGTCTATGTCTTTGCTTTAAGGGCGTTCGAACGCCAGATGAGGTCTGATTCCTTCCACTCAAGTGGCCTGTGATTTCTGTGATGGTTACTTCCATACGTTTGGAACAACTTTGACTTTACACTCAGCAACTTGGTCCTCAGTCACTCAAGACAACGTTCGAATGTGGAGTGGCGTTCGAACGTTGTATTCAAGTACTCCTAGTTTTTCTTTCTTTACTGCAACATGTCAGGTTCCAGTGGTGTAGTCTTCTCAAGATTCCAGAGGACGTTTGAACGTGAGTTGCCGTTCGAACGTGGTACTCAAATACCTCAACATTTTTCCTTTGTTGACTGCAACACGCCATGTGTCAGCAGCTGGTCTTGGCAAGATTTCAGAGGACGTTCGAACATGGGTTGACATTCGAACGTTCTTGCTTTGTTCCAACCTTCTGTAATTTTGTTCCCTATTGTGCTGGTGTTACATTCAAGTGTGATTTTTGTTGTTTTTGAGCCTTTGTTCTCTTTAGGATCTGAAATGTCATTACTTAAACTCCATCAAAGTACAATTAGTCCAAAAAGGCATAGTAAAAATTGTAACTTTACGCACGAATCATGTGCCTTGTTACATTATCACTGATAATGGAAAATCATTTGTCAATAGTCTCATGGCCAAACTTTACATCAAATTTGGGTTTGTACAACATAATTCATCCATGTACAACACACCAGCCAATGGACTCGCATAAGCCTTCAATAAAATCTTGTGCAACTTGTTGAAGAAAGTTGTCTCCAAATCAAAGAAGGATTGACATGAAAGGGTTGGTAAAGCTCTCTAGGCATATTAAATAACATACCGAATTCCAACACAAGCTATTCCATAGTCCCTTGTGTATGGCGTTGAAGTTGTTCTTCCTTTGGAACGTCAAATTCCCTCCCTACGGATTGCCTTACAAGAAGAACTCACAAATGAAGAAAATGTTCATTTATGTTTAGATGAGCTTGAAACACTTGACGAGAAAAGACTAGATGTACAACAAAACCTAGAGTATCATCAAGTCAGACTTTCCAAAGACTTCAATAAGAGGGTTCGTGTCTGATCATTCAAAATAGGAGATTTGGTCCTTACAATTCGAAGACCCATTGTCATTATGTATCACACCGGTGGAAAATTCTTGCCAAAATGGGATGGTCCATATATGGTAAAAGAAGTCTACACCAATAGCGCATACAAGATTGTTGACAAATATGGCTTGAGGGTTGTTAGCCCAATCAATGGAAAATTTTTAAAGCACTTCTAAGTCTGAAAACAAGCAACGCTCTTTTACGCACGTGCCTAAACTGCATGTTGCTCTTAGCCCGCATGAGTTAAAACTGTGTACGACTTGATCAAAAATAAAAGTTCATGCCCTCCTTTACGCACGAGACTAAACTGTATGTTGCTCCTGTCTTGTATGACCCAAAACTGTATACGACTTGACCAAAAATAAAGGTTCATGCGCTCCTTTACGCACGAGCCTAAACTACATGTTGCTCCTGGCCTGCAAGAGTTAAAACTGTGTACCGCTTAAAAAAAAAATTACTTAGCTTAAAAAAAAATAGAAAAAAATTTTTTTTTACTCCTGGACCGTATGAGTTAAAACTGTGTATGACTTAACAAAAAAAAATAAAATTTTACCCTTGGCCCGCATGAGTTGAAACTATGTACGGCTCAACCAAAAATAAAAATTTTTTGCTCCTGGCCCGCATGAGTTAAAATTGTGTACGCCTCAACCAAAAATAAAAACTTTTTCGAAATTATGTTTAAACTTAAACCTTTTTTGAGATATCTAAGTTATTTGAGAATCAATCTTTTTTTAGTACAATAAATAATAGCATAAAAAAAATTCCAATCTAAACATCTATATATATATATATATATATATATATATATAAATAAAGAATTACAATTGAGGAGTTATGAAATCATAAAATATTTTCAGCCCAGTCGATCGAGGCTAGTGAAGCAAATTCCTTCTCTAACATGGATCGCATCTTGTCTATATTTTGTATCTCCTCAACACTACAAATATAAGACTCCTAGAGTTCGACACGTTCTTTCTCCATCACCACAATAGTCTCTTTAGTGTTATGTCGTTCATCATGAATGAAGTCAATGCTAGATGCTACCTCGACCCTCCGATCTTGCAGTCGCTAGATTTCATCATCAAGACTCAATAACTCTGCTTCAAATTTCAACAGTTGTTCACTCAAGCCAAGAACTTTGAATTGTCCTCCTGATATCGTGCTATCAATTGTCACTAACCTTCTATCTCTTTCTCTAGAGGTTAAATTTTTGACTTATTCTTGGTGTTTTGAAAGGTACTCATCTACTTTCATAAGAAGACAATCCATTTTTCTCACCAAAGGATTTGTGTCAACATAGAAAAGCTTTTTAAGAGTATCTTTAATACTTGAAGACTTGGAGGTCCACCAGGTTTTCAATCCAAAAAAGCCATTTTTCATGGCATAATCAAATTCACCTTTCAAATATGGGGGCATTTTGGTCAAAATTATTATTTTTTTCAATTTTTCAAAAGCAATTGCTTCAACAGAAGGACCTGACACAAATAAAGATATACGATTAGTTTCATACTAATCGAAAGTACAACTAGATCAAGCTAATGAAATATAACTGAGACAGATGAAAACATCGGCATTAGTCTTGGAGATCACGCTTCACCAGGTTCATAAGGCTCAGGAAGAGTATTCATAACATAATTATTAATAGCTTATTGTCTTACTTGTATAGCACATGAAGGGTTTGTTTTAGAATTAACTTTCCCTTCAGATGGATTGACATTTTCTCCATCAACCAAAGGAAGAATCTCACCACTGCCAGAAAGAATGGACATGGTTCGATCGTTGTCATCAAATAAAGCTCCAATGATATCATTGTCAAGATTTTGGTCTCCACAAATACCTGGGATGGAATTTAATGTGGCAAGATCTGGAAGTGGAGGAAAAGCTTAAAAAAAAGGGTAAGAGGTTTGAAATATAAAAAATAATGATAATAGTAATGAAATTTTGCAAGTACCTTTATTGTGGGATCGCATGGATAATTCTAAAAAAGTTGATAAATCATTCAGCGCATCACAAGATGGGTCAACCCTGCCTGTGGGAGACTTTGTAGTGGTATAATTTGCACCATTTTCTGACCGGGCACAAGCCAAATTATGCTCAGCTTCTGTAGCTCTTGTTTGGCACCTCTCTTGAATTGTCTGCTTAGTAAAACCAAGATTATCAACTGGTGTAATTGTGCTTGGAATCCTTCCACGATTTGAGCCTATATCCTATTTCTTGAAAATACCCTTGGACATGCAGGATGAAAGGAATGTATGATCAGATTCGTTTGACGAACCCACTTCAGCAGACTCTGGATGTTTAAAGGATGAACAGATCGAACATTAGCTGATCTTGAAACAGGTGTTGTGACCTTTAACATCTTTGGAACTGGTTGTTCTTGGGGATTCAAACAATCCTTTGAAGTGTCCCATTTTCGAAGACGTGAAGAAGTTTTAGCCACTATCGGAAAGGATTTCCCCTTCCCTAACCCATCAGCTTGAGCTTTGAATTTGAAATTCTTAGATTCACTAGCTAACAAGGTTTTACAATTGATGTCGTCTAAGTGTGGGAGTACATCATCTTTCCACCAGTTGTTATAACTACTGTCACATTGATTCTCGATGCGAGCGCAATTATTAAGGACATGGAATCCTTCCCCACTGTTTATCTTGGTTAAACTTAATCATGCCCGATATAAAAAAGAGGCATCAAACAAAATTATCAGTGGATGTGAGAGAGTACCCGACAATGTTTGATGAAATCCACGTTACCTAGCAAAGTGATATGGGTTATACATCTCAAGAATGCAAATTGGCCCACACCGATACATGTGTGTCTACCTCGCATACTTGTCATTAATTCAGAGGTTTCATCTGATCTTTGTCCATCATCACGACAAGGCCCTCGGTTTCCAAAATATGGAACTGGTTGCCAGTAAAAATCATTGGAACTCATACTTTCACGTAGAAGATCTCAAAATCCTTTTGCTTCTTCCTCATAAAAAAGATAAGCATTCAATGTACCTCTAAATTGTCGAAACAAAGGACGATCAAGCTCCTCATCAACCTTAGCATAAACCCCCAGAGGGAAATGCAACGCTGCCCAAGCATAAAAGTAATGATCTGGCAAATCATAAAAAGCTATCCCAAGGTTCTTTTGATCATATCAGGAGCTGCATGTCTCAGATAGACCTTTGTAAATGCTTACAACAAGAGGGGGAACCAATCTATATGTGACTCCAGCAGCCATTCGAGAGGCAGTCTTGAAAATAGTTGGATGAATAACATCATCCGATGAAGGAAATACAAAGCGACATAGCCATAAAGCTAAATAAGCTACAATCTCCAAGTCTTCACGTGTTGTGACATCAAGGTCAAGATCTAGAAGAATGAAGGGATCATCACCATTGACCTTTGTCTTCATAGGTTGTATTTCTGCCTGAATAGGTCTCACCAATCGTCGCTTTGCAAAAAATTCTCCATCCCTTTTAAAGCAATTTTTCATGGCTGCTTTATATGTCTTACTCTTCTTGGGATCCAAAGCACGTGCACCGTCCTTGAACAAAAAATCAAGCCAATCTGAATGACGGAGACAATTATCCCTTTTCTTTTTATTAATTAAGACAAAAGTCTTAAACAAATGCAGACAAGTCACAGGAAGAGCGCTAGTATCAGAGTCTCTCAACTCAGTCAAGCTTGGGATAACTTCTTCAAAATATTCACCACGGATTGAAAGACCAGTGACGTGTCGCATTTCCCAAAGTGAGATTCCAATTTCTCCCGTGCCTGCAACAAACGAATTCATCTATGGACATCAAACTTCACAAAAGACGCGATATACACTGTTGGGTCGAGAGTAGTCAAAAAAACCTACATGCACAGCAAAAGCAAGTTCGTCAAAACCCTTGCCCAACAACTTGCGGTAAATTCGTTGAGACCATTCCCAAAACCCATTCAGATATTGAATATCTCCCCTTGGGTTCAGTGAACATCCCCACCTCGCAATCCTTTGGTTTATTAGATCAGCAACAAGTGGCTTTGGGATAAGATGATCTTTGGAATGATACGAAGGTACGCAAAGTGAGGGTAGTCGATCTGACTTAACCGTGTCACTTTTGTGTACGTTCTCTAATAGAGGATATTCACTAATCATCGACATATGAAGTTCAGGTTCATAGATTATTCTCGAGCGGCTGCAGGGACCAGTCATGGGCTCAAGAACTTTGAGTGATAATGATTGACAACTTGTTGGTTCTATATTTCTTTACCATAACAATTGGAAAACACAAAACTTTGTCTTTCAGAATTGGATCCTCCAACTCTGCAATTCACTCATTGGAAAGTAAGTTCCTTCTTTGACTTGAAATTTTGATAATTTTTTCCGATTTGGCTTTTTGAGATGAGGTCATCTGACAAAAAAAAGTGATAATAAATAATAATAAGAAGAAAGAAGAAAGCAAATAATAATTTGAAAAACATATATGTATATATGTTGTAATAAAATAAACCTTGATACTATAAATAAAGGGGGAGTAAAAATAATACAAAAATACATAAGTTACCTAGAGCTGTTACAGAAGTCACTTAGGGTTGTTACAGAAGTCACATTGGACTGTTACAGAATTCACATTGGGTTGTTATAGAAGTCACTAAGGGTTGTTACAGAAGTCATTGAGGGCTGTTACAAAAGTCACCTTAGACTATTACAGAAGTTACCTAGGACTGTTATGGAAGTCACCTAGGGCTATTACAGAAGTTATCTAGAGCTGTTACAGAAGTCATCCTGTTAGGCCGTTACAGAAATCACTTTAGACTGTTACAGAAGTTACCTTGGGTTTAGACTGTTACAGAAGTTACCTTGGGCTGTTACAGAAGTCACCGAAAACTGTTACAAAAATCACTTAGGGCTATTACAGAAGTCATCTAGGGCTATTACAGAAGTTACCTAAGGCAATTACAGAAGTCACCTAGGGATGTCACCGAAGTCACCTAGGGATGTCACCAAAGTCACCAAGGGCTGTCACAAAAGCCACCTTAGACCGTTACAGAAGTCACCTTAGGCTGTTACAGAAGTCAATTTGGGTTTAGGCTGTTACAGAAATCACCTTAGACTGTTACAAAAAATTACCTTAGGCTGTCAAGAAAGTCACTAAAGGCTGTCACAGAAGTCACTGTAGGCTGTCACGGAAGTTACCTAAAGATGTCACGGAAGTCACCTGAGGCTATCACAAGAGTCACCTAAGTTGACACACACAAAAAAAAAAAAATTATACTTAAGGGTGTTATAAAAATCACAAATAATAATAATAATAATAATAAAACTTTTATAACATTAGTCACCTAAGTTGACACAAAAAAAAAATCACTTAAGGTTTTTATAAAAATAATAAAATAATAATAATAATAAAATAATAAAATAAAACTTTTATAACATAAGTCACCTATAGTTGACATAAAAGTTACAAACTGTTGGAATAGATGTTATATAAAGTAACATTTTTTAAAACAGTTATTTAAAATTCTTAGTGCAGGTTAACCCAATATAAAATTCTTAGAACAAATTTTTTAAGATAAGATTTTTCAAAAAAAAAAAAAAGAGAGAGAAAAAAAAAGTCAGTCTTGATAATAGTGTCATGAGAAAATCTAAAAGGTTAAAATTTGTACAACAATAGGAAAGAAAAGAAAAACATGCTTAAGATCAACCTCTTGAAAAATAGAACTAACTAAATTAAAATTTTTAGGAAAAAACTAATCCAAGAAAAAAAAAATTGAAAAAAATTACATACGAAAAAGCAACAAAAATAAATAAAATAAAATTATTTAGATAAACTATCTGAGTCAAAGTTCTTTGTCTCGAATCAACAGTTGTATTATAGAGACTAAAATTGTTATGAGCTCTTGCAAGAATTTACCTTAAACCAAGTTAAAAAAAAAAAAAAAAAAAACTACTTTCGCTTGATGATAAACAATGCTTTTAGACCTACAAATTAACAAAGTAGAAACATTTGCATTGGACAAAAATAAGTTTTTAAGAAAAAAAGGGGGATGATTTGGTAAACACCTAATGCTTATACGGTCAAAATAGTCAATCATAAAATTGTCTATTATAAACAGTTAAAAGGAATTCAATGAAAGAAATCTCATTCCTGGTCCTAGTTACAAAAAACAAAACAATAAACACACAAAAAAATAAATAAATAAAATAAAACAAAACAGTAAACACAAACTAAGTTAAAAAAATAATATATATATATATAAATAGATAAAAAATAATAATAATGATATAAACTTACAAAATAGAGGACAACAAAAAAAAGTAATACCTTATACAAATTGGCCTTGACGTCAAAGGGCTAGTGATCACAAAAGTTTCAGGCTTTGTCAAACATATATAGATACTAGTGTTTGCAAATAAAAGTTTTTTATTAATAGGTCATGAAAAAAAGAGGTTTGTGAAACAATTAACTTATAAAAAATAAAAATAAAAATAAACCAACTGTGATTCCAAAGTCAGAATAAAAAAAAATACAATTCAATAATATATATAAAACATACCTTGATGTCTTGAACCACGAAGCTTTCTTGACTCACAAACAAACTTTCAAGAGCTAACACTCTCGGGTCATTGAGCATCCTTAAATAGAGAAAAGTTATGATAGTTTTAGAAGGATGAAATGTTTTAAGTTCATGTGTTCAAGTAAAAAAGAACTAGTTATTTTGAATCATAATAAACTAAATATTAGGAAATTGTAACTAATTGAATTTTTTGTATTACTTGGAGTTCAACATGGGTTATAATTTTATTACAAAAGAATAAAGTCTATCAAAAAAAATTTATTTATTTTAGACTTGTTCGCAAAATTCTAAGAAAAAAAAAAGAGAGAGAAAAAGTAATAATACAAACAAGGCACCAATAAAAGAGATATAAGAAAAAAAAAAAAAAAAAAGGAGGTTGTACATGTCCATTGATCCAAGGCAACATTCAAGAGTTAAATTTTAATGGGACTTCCATATAGACCGAAATTCATATGGACTATAATTTCAATTAATATATATATATATAAATTAAATTAAATCAAATTTTTTTTAAAATTAAAATACAAATCGAGACCCATTTATATAATTAAATATGTAAATAAGTCTCGAGGGAGCATTAGTAAACATTAAAAATTTAATTAACAAATTAATGTCTATAATTGAGCTCAACTCAATTAGATAAATAAAATTGGATTGGACCTAAATTCCATAACCTAAATAATACAAACCCGAATTTAATTAACAAGACTCGTTAAATTAAATTAAACTGGACCTAAATTCCATAACCTAAATAATACAAGTCCAAATGCAATTAATCAGGCTTTTTAAATTCAAATGGAATTAAATTTCATAGGCCCAAATTAAATAAATTTTCAAACGGTAAAATGTGTTGGATTTAAATTCCATAAATTAATTAAAGTCTACAAATTTATGGGTAGCCCACTACCTAAAACTCATAGAAGAGTAATAAGGACTTTTATATGGATAACTACTCCTAGCACTATAAATAGAGGTCTAAGTTAAGAAGAAAAGGAGAGGAAGCCAAGGAGGAAGGAATATCATCGAAGCTCTGCTCAAATTTCACTAAAACCTTAAAGTCTTACAAATTCATCTCTAGGAAGAAGAACATACCGCCAAGGTCCTTCTTTAAAAAATTCAAATCATCAAGTCTTTTCAAACGAAGAACGGTGAGGAAATTCATCAAAAGTATTATCAAATTGAAGAGCGGGAGATACATTGATCCAGCTCTCGTTTTCATCAAAGCCACCAATTGAAGAACGAGAAATACGCTAATCAGGCTCTTATCTTCACCAAATTCATCATTTTCATGAAATTCACCGAGAATTAGAGAATAGTGTACGTGAGAAGCACGCCAAAGAGAATCAACATTACATCTTTTACTTAAAGTCAATTAAATTGACTATTGTAACTTGACTTTATTTTGTGTTAATTTATTCACGAAATTTAATGAAATCATCCCTTATGATTCCACTAGTTTATGTTGATGACGTAATCATTGCTTCCAATGATGATAATGTTGTATCTAAGCTCAAAGATTTTCTAGAAGATAAGTTCAAGATCAAGGACTTGGTTCTCTCAAATATTTCCTTGGATTGGGAGTGGCCATAAATCCTTGCGGAATTCAGATTTATCAAAGGAAATATGCTCTTGATATTCCTTCTGATTCTGGAATGATAGGAGACAAGCATGCTAAAACACCTATGGACCAGAATTTTAAACCTTCAAAGGATGAAGGCACTTTCTTGATGATCCAGCTTCATACAGAAGGCTCATTGGAAGATTGCTTTATTTAACAATTACTATGCCTGACATATCAGATTCAATTAATCTTCTTAGTCAGTTCATGGCAACACCTCGACTTCCCCATCTCAATGCAGCACATCAGATCCTCAAATATATAAAGAAGTCTCTAGCACAAGGGTTTTTCTTCCCTTTTCCTTCATCTTTTCAACTCACAGCATCTTGTGATTTTGATTGGGCCTCATGTCCTGATACACGTAGGTCGACTACTGGTTATTTTGTTTTCTTTGAACATTTTCTAATTTCTTAGAAATCAAAGAAATAAACCACTATTTCTAGAAGTTCTACTGAAGCAGAATACTGTTCTATGGTTGCAACTTGTTGCGAGCTCACTTGGTTAAGGTTTTTACTTTCCGATTTCTCCATTGAACAATTACAACCTGCTACTCTCTATTGTGACAGCCAAGCAGCTCTCCACATTTTAGTTGGTTTCATTGAGTCTTAACTATGATTTATTTCAGGTGTAATTCTAATTTATTTCAGTTGTAATTTGATCTACTAGAGAATGTTATAGAGTTTGATGCCGTATACTTATTCTCTAATCAAACCAAAGCATCACTTTCTGTGAAAACTCAATGTCTCCTTGATATACTGAGGAGTCACCACTTTAGTGAAGGACCCACCTTCTGAGTACAATGGAATCTAAGGTATGCTAAGGTTGAAAACTGGAGAGGAATGTGGTCCTTCAATCATCAACTGTCACCGTCTTTACACTTACTGTAATTAAAAGCATAGAATTACAACCAATTGGGTCAATTTATACATCTTTCGTTTTCATTTCCTTGTCAAAATCGATAGCATCTTAATATACCATGATTTTGAGGACCATAGTACAAAAAATAATTGTGATGAGAATTCTATAAAGACACTCTATATGCTACACATCCCAATGATGGACACTCTCTATGATACACATCCCAATTCCCAAACCATTTTATTGAATTGAATCGTAATTGTCTCTATATGAAATTTGGAACTAATAGCGGTAATGAACTCAAAATGACCATTGCATTTGTCTTCATTATTTTTCAAGAATAGGAATAACAATTTAGCCAAGAAATAACCAAATTTGACACAAATCCCGCACAACAAAATTCAATAAACAAATAATAAATTGGTCAAATCAACATAAAAAATAGACTGCATTTTAGAACAAACAAATTTGTTTGACTAGAAATGTAATAAAGAAATGAAATGCCTAGTTTTGTGTTTCTTTTTATCTTTAATTTGTTTTTAGGTGCGACTCAAATAGATTTCTAATTTACACAAAACCTATATTTAATGAATTTAATTGGGAAGAATAACAGACAAATCTCCTGAAGTTTATCATTTAATAACTCAAACCTCCTAACATTTGAAATATTACACACAGACCCCTTAAAATTTGTAAGCGCGTAACATTTAGACCCTGTCATCAATATCCGTTAGTAAATTACATCCAAACCCCTGAAGTTTGTAACGTGTAATATTTAGACCGCTCAAATTTAAAATGATATATTTAGACCAAAAATACTCCAATTAAAGATAAAATATTAAATATTTTAATTTTGCAACCAAAATTCATGTTCTATTATGACATTTATTGAACTAAAATTAAAAATAAAAATCTAATTTTTCTTAAAAATATCATAATTATTATACAATTATATTATTCGTTGGAATTTAATTTGATCATTTAAACTACCAAATTATCCCAATTAAAGCTAAAATATATTATGGTCATTACAGTTTAACACTTTATTTGATATATTTAGTTTTATTCCTATAGATAATATAAATGTATATTTATTATGATTTTTAACAAAAAATTAAATTTTTATTTTTGATTTTATTTCAATAAATGGCATATAGAATATGAATTTTAGTTGTAAAATTTATGTTCTATTACGAATAACTTAGACCCTTGTTTANATCCCAATTCCCAAACCATTTTATTGAATTGAATCGTAATTGTCTCTATATGAAATTTGGAACTAATAGCGGTAATGAACTCAAAATGACCATTGCATTTGTCTTCATTATTTTTCAAGAATAGGAATAACAATTTAGCCAAGAAATAACCAAATTTGACACAAATCCCGCACAACAAAATTCAATAAACAAATAATAAATTGGTCAAATCAACATAAAAAATAGACTGCATTTTAGAACAAACAAATTTGTTTGACTAGAAATGTAATAAAGAAATGAAATGCCTAGTTTTGTGTTTCTTTTTATCTTTAATTTGTTTTTAGGTGCGACTCAAATAGATTTCTAATTTACACAAAACCTATATTTAATGAATTTAATTGGGAAGAATAACAGACAAATCTCCTGAAGTTTATCATTTAATAACTCAAACCTCCTAACATTTGAAATATTACACACAGACCCCTTAAAATTTGTAAGCGCGTAACATTTAGACCCTGTCATCAATATCCGTTAGTAAATTACATCCAAACCCCTGAAGTTTGTAACGTGTAATATTTAGACCGCTCAAATTTAAAATGATATATTTAGACCAAAAATACTCCAATTAAAGATAAAATATTAAATATTTTAATTTTGCAACCAAAATTCATGTTCTATTATGACATTTATTGAACTAAAATTAAAAATAAAAATCTAATTTTTCTTAAAAATATCATAATTATTATACAATTATATTATTCGTTGGAATTTAATTTGATCATTTAAACTACCAAATTATCCCAATTAAAGCTAAAATATATTATGGTCATTACAGTTTAACACTTTATTTGATATATTTAGTTTTATTCCTATAGATAATATAAATGTATATTTATTATGATTTTTAACAAAAAATTAAATTTTTATTTTTGATTTTATTTCAATAAATGGCATATAGAATATGAATTTTAGTTGTAAAATTTATGTTCTATTACGAATAACTTAGACCCTTGTTTATTTTTTAGTTTTATTCTAATAGATAGTATAATTGTATACTAATTACGATTTTTTAAGAAAAAATTTACTTTTTATTTTTGATTTTATTTCAATAAATGATATAATATAACATAAATTTTGGTTATAAAATTTAAAATATTTGATATTCTATCTTTGATTAGAATATTTTTTATCTAAATATAACATTTTAAGTTTTAGGAGTCTAAGTATTATATGTCTATAAACTTCAAGAGATCTGAGTATAATTTAGGAGCTTAGGGAGGCCGGTCCCTTTTTGTAGACTTATTTAGGTTTAAGTACACTCAAAAAACTTATTTGGAGATAAGTCTATTTTGATCTCTGTTGTCCAACATACTCTCGATAGTTATATTTAGTCAAAACTTGTTTGAAAAAATTAACAACTGCTAAATTGGGAATTGTATTAATATTTACAACTCATATCTTGAAAATTGTGCTAGCATTAAAAGTATATATATATATATTAAACAGTAAAACGCTCAACAAAAAAATAATAGCATCAAATAGTAACATACTCAATCAAAATTTAATAATTGTAATAGAGTTGCACCTCCACAACAGAATAAATATTCACATATAGTGTCACTCTATTGCAATAATTAAATTTTTAATTAAGTTTTTTATTGAGCGCGTTATTGTTTGATGTTATTGTTTTTTTATTGAGTGTGTTACTATTTGATATTACTATACATATATGTGTATGTGTGTGTTTGAAATTTCAAAATTCAAATGATACACAAATATCAAAGGAATATTGAAAGTCTCACATTTTAATATATAAATATTAAAAATATCAATTAGATATGCATTATTTATGATAAGGGTAATTATGAAATACATCTTAAAAAGAATTTGAAAATGTTTTAAAATGTATACTTATAGACAACTATTTGATGAAAAAAATGACTTAAAGGAAGATAAATTTAGAGGTGGTACTTAAGGTCAAATAAGTTTTAAAAAATATACCCACATCACATTATCTCTATAATTTACTAATGGATATACTAACCAATATTTGATGACAGGGGTTTAATTTTTACGCACTTATAAACTTCAAAAAATCTGTGTGTAATATTTCAAATGTTAGAGAGTCTAAGTGATTAAGTAACAAGCTTAAAAGAATTTAGATATAATTCTCCCATTTTATTAAGATAAACTAACCAACAAGTCTTTGATTTGTCTTTTTAAGGTCAAGTGTTCAAACCCTCTCCCTTTTTTCTCCCCCCCCCCCAAAAAAAAAAAAAACAATATTAAGATAAATTGAGCTCTTAACCCTACAATTTTTAAATTCCAATAAAATGAAAATGATAGACGCAATACAAACATGATACAAATCTAAAATGGTACAACCCAGCGTAAAATGACACAACTCGACTCCATACAAGGAGGCTACCAGCCAAAACAACATCGAAACTACCTTACTCCGCACAATGACTACTATTTTTGATGCTTGTCCGAGTCAAAATCTTGGAAGAAAATATTCATGAGCCGTCCAGTAATTTTTTCTTTGGATAAGAAAAAACAACGATGCTTGAGAATCTAATAATTCAACTCCCTGTAATAGTGCTTGGCCAAAAAGAAAAAGAATCTACTAATTCGCTTCATACCAGTCACGTACTTGTGGCTGGCTCTATCAAGCTTTCTTTTCCATGAAGCAGATGGCCATGGCCACACAATACACAACTCTGATTGGCTGCAATTCTTCCTAAAATTTGTCTCAGAAAACCAGTTGCATCACACAAAAATGTACTAGAATGAATAGACTAATGACATGACAAAACTAAAGTTCTCCAAGAATGAAATTTAATGAAAAGAAAAACCTCCCAAATAAATAGAAAGAAACATTATCCCCAAGAATCAAATATTAATTCGTGTAGCTTACTGATTGTTCCTACTGCTACAGAATTTAAACAATATTGGTTGTCTTTAACTTCTATCTGAAAGACGAATACCAACTCCATTAGTTCCAAATAAATCTTTTGCAAATTATTCTTTTACCCATACATTAAAAAGATGGTCGAAGATATATGTTATCCCACATGAACGTGCTCGTGGGATAGACTGTCATGATTCTTTTGTCTCGGGTCATCTGGAGAAAGATCAAAACCAATGGAGAGAATTGTAATCTGTTGCATATGATGCTATTTAAAAAGAAAAGAATAATATGAGAAAAGATTACCAGAAAGGACAATAATGTGGCCTAATCAAAGACTTCTTCCAATCCAATAACAGAAGGATGGAATGAAATCATTCAAAAACTGCTGTTTCTTCCATTTCCTTCGGTGGCACAAGCAGACAAAAAGACCCACGCTCTCAGAGTGCACCTGATTCCAATCCACATTTTTTAATGTCATCTGGGCGAAGTAGAAGAAACCACCCCAACTTGTAGAAGAGGATGCCCCGGGAGTTTTGCCCATTCATGACTTCCTTGTAGAAGAGCTGCCCTCTGAGGGTTCATTAGCAGAAGCTGCTGCATATCTTTCGGAAGAACATTGAACACAGCCTGCAGATCTCCCTTCAGTTTCTGGCAAGTGGCTGCAGAGTCTGCATTGGCATTCCTAAACTGCTGCATCAAAAAATTTCATTACATCAAAGAGTAGACAATGTATTACTTTCTCAAACTATAAAGGGTAAACAACATTACGGGTTGTAGGTTTAAATGAAAATGAACTAGTGACAAATTACATACAAGAAAGGTGGCCTGTCCTCAATCACTACATACATTATATCCCAGATAACATGGGTCCAAGCCCTAAAGGCTTCTTGTCAACATCTTGGGGCCTGTCCTTCAATCTGCAATATTTATAAATTCTCCTGATGGACCATATGGTCCTCTTTTGGCCTAAGGTTTTTTGACTCAGCTGCCAAAAAGTAACTCATGGTCTCTCAGATGCCAGAAGACCTGTCTATTAAATCATACATAACATATACCAATGTAATTGATTTGGATGAACTCCAAAACCTCATCCCAATTTTTTTGAATTTTTTATGTTTAAAATTGTCAAATTTGATTTGGCTTTATGTCATTGGCCCTTTTCAAATAACTTAATTCTTCATTAATAGGATAATTTTCAAAATTTCTCAATTATCCCAAGTTTCTCTCTCATCTTCTCACCTTTCCCCTCTCTCACACACACACACTCTCTCTCTCCTCCAAATCTATATTTACTACATACTATAACAATTAATTTAGGAGAGAGGTGCCTATGAAACTTTCCCAAATCAAGTAACAAATTTTTTAATTTTAAATTATTTAGTAAAAATGCAATGATCTCATCAAATTAAATCATTCTATAAGACTTATGTAGCTACTCCTACAAAGCTACTCTATTTCATCCTCCTTGATTTAGTACAATAATAAATAATTTTTCAAAAATACTAAGGTCGGGATGGGATGAAGGGGTGCCAATAGTGGTGATTCTGCACCCCGGGGGTGGTAGAATTGTGATGGGAGATATTGAAAATATCGTGCATCAGACAGGCACCGCTAGTTAAACTTTGGGAGTTGGTAAAAAAAGAGACCCAATGCACAAGACTCTTACCACTACGAGATTGGAGAGTGGCTGATGTATGCAACCTTATCCTTCCAACCTTAACCAGGTTCAAGCACACAACCTTGCACAAACTTCCATTCTTAAAGGGTAATCCATGCGGCAAAATCCTTGATGAAAAAACTTCTTTCTTTGCTTTGTTGTTTTTCCATCTTTGACTTTCTTACAAACTAAAAGACTTCCACGTCAACTATTGTTGTCAGTATAATCATGAGCAAAGTACGATATTAATTTCTAATATTGTAATTTTAGGAGTCTGCTCAAGTCGGCGACGATCACCATAAGTCAAACCACAAAGATTAGTGTTGTGATCATNCATTCATGACTTCCTTGTAGAAGAGCTGCCCTCTGAGGGTTCATTAGCAGAAGCTGCTGCATATCTTTCGGAAGAACATTGAACACAGCCTGCAGATCTCCCTTCAGTTTCTGGCAAGTGGCTGCAGAGTCTGCATTGGCATTCCTAAACTGCTGCATCAAAAAATTTCATTACATCAAAGAGTAGACAATGTATTACTTTCTCAAACTATAAAGGGTAAACAACATTACGGGTTGTAGGTTTAAATGAAAATGAACTAGTGACAAATTACATACAAGAAAGGTGGCCTGTCCTCAATCACTACATACATTATATCCCAGATAACATGGGTCCAAGCCCTAAAGGCTTCTTGTCAACATCTTGGGGCCTGTCCTTCAATCTGCAATATTTATAAATTCTCCTGATGGACCATATGGTCCTCTTTTGGCCTAAGGTTTTTTGACTCAGCTGCCAAAAAGTAACTCATGGTCTCTCAGATGCCAGAAGACCTGTCTATTAAATCATACATAACATATACCAATGTAATTGATTTGGATGAACTCCAAAACCTCATCCCAATTTTTTTGAATTTTTTATGTTTAAAATTGTCAAATTTGATTTGGCTTTATGTCATTGGCCCTTTTCAAATAACTTAATTCTTCATTAATAGGATAATTTTCAAAATTTCTCAATTATCCCAAGTTTCTCTCTCATCTTCTCACCTTTCCCCTCTCTCACACACACACACTCTCTCTCTCCTCCAAATCTATATTTACTACATACTATAACAATTAATTTAGGAGAGAGGTGCCTATGAAACTTTCCCAAATCAAGTAACAAATTTTTTAATTTTAAATTATTTAGTAAAAATGCAATGATCTCATCAAATTAAATCATTCTATAAGACTTATGTAGCTACTCCTACAAAGCTACTCTATTTCATCCTCCTTGATTTAGTACAATAATAAATAATTTTTCAAAAATACTAAGGTCGGGATGGGATGAAGGGGTGCCAATAGTGGTGATTCTGCACCCCGGGGGTGGTAGAATTGTGATGGGAGATATTGAAAATATCGTGCATCAGACAGGCACCGCTAGTTAAACTTTGGGAGTTGGTAAAAAAAGAGACCCAATGCACAAGACTCTTACCACTACGAGATTGGAGAGTGGCTGATGTATGCAACCTTATCCTTCCAACCTTAACCAGGTTCAAGCACACAACCTTGCACAAACTTCCATTCTTAAAGGGTAATCCATGCGGCAAAATCCTTGATGAAAAAACTTCTTTCTTTGCTTTGTTGTTTTTCCATCTTTGACTTTCTTACAAACTAAAAGACTTCCACGTCAACTATTGTTGTCAGTATAATCATGAGCAAAGTACGATATTAATTTCTAATATTGTAATTTTAGGAGTCTGCTCAAGTCGGCGACGATCACCATAAGTCAAACCACAAAGATTAGTGTTGTGATCATGCAACAATTATGGTGAATAGTAAGAAATCAAACAATTAAGAAAGCAGGAGAAAATAACACACAGAGATTTACGTGGTTCGGCAATGTGCCTACATCCACGAGAGCGAGTGGCCGTTCCTTTTTCATTATTCAGAGTAGGGTTACATCTTAAGTATTTATATAACCCTAATACGGACGTATTTACAAAAATACCCCTGTACCGTACCGCAGGGGCGTTGCCCCCGCACCCCCAACTAATCAACGTCCCCTTTATACAAATCCCGCAAAGCAGATGCCGTCGCGGGCTCCGCTCCGACATCTGCCTCCTTGCCATTATGCACACAGCAAATATGAGTCATACATACTCTAACAATTAGGGAACAAAAGCTAAATGGAATGACCAATAAGATTACAAAATGAGGCATCACCCTTCATTTATTAGGTTCAAGCAGAAAAGAATGATCTACAGAGTGTATTCCCATCCCGACATTTCACATGGCCAACAAAAAAATTTAGTTGAAATCAAGTTTAAAAGAACTTCCCCAAACACACTGACAAAAATATTTGAAATAATCCAGAAATACAACAATAATAAAAAACTAGGGCTTGAATAAGGATGGGAATCCTTAAGCCAGCCTATCAACATGTCTAGAACATTCTTAAACACTGGAATTTTGATCCGGGAATATCCTAGAACATCCCAGAAAATATGGGAAATTTGATTTTAAAGCACTGTTTCGGTTTGGTTTCCACCATAACCGAAAGTTTTGATTATTTCAACTGAGACAAAACAACACTTTGATCCCTACTTGTATCCTGTTGGCCTCCTTCACTAAGCCAATAAGTGGGTGAAGGATAGTCCAGGATTTCTGATCTTAAAATATTGGTTAAGGGACGCAGGATTCATGGGTTTTGTAATTATTAAACCCAATGAAGAGAAGAACCCTTTTATTGGGACAGAAGTGCTACTAAGAGGCATCACTAATAGCACAAATAACTGAAGCAAATTTCATCCTAAAAATACGAGAAAGAACAGTTTTTTAAATTACCAGTTTACCATATTAAACCTGAAGTTGTTTCCTTTTCTTTTTTTTTTTTTTCAGTTTCTTATATTTTGAAACATAGCAGAATTTGCAACTGCACCCCAACCCCCATAAAAGATTTTCACTACCCTTGTTCAAGTCTAAATTAATTCCCATGTCTTTTTCCCTTTTTATGAGAAAGTTGGTGTGTGTTCAAGCAATGATGCTTAGATTGGTACTCTGTACGATCCTTACATCAATATTGCATGTGATAGGAATAGACTTAGTTGGTACATTGTTTTTGAGTCGTTGTTTGCTTAGAACTCTTATTTGGATCACTTTTACTATTATATGAAGGCACATATCATCATATATCCATATATACATAATTAATTGATATTTATTTCACAATCATCATGAGAGTTTCAAAGCAAATCTAATCCAAAACAAAGTACCAGATAATGTAGAGAATACTATAAGTTAGTGGTTGCATACTTGTCTTATAGGTTAAAAACAAATTTATATGAAACAAATATATAGGTTTAAAGATCACAAAAATGAATAAATAAAGTGCAGTTACAACTACAATTTTGTGTTAGGAATACAATTTGATAGTACATTGAGCAAGCGTAGATTAGGGGTTAGGGTTAAATTTTGGGATCGTAAACTTGGCATTATACGAGGTCACATGATCCCAACCCAAGATTCTAGTGATCCTGATATCCATGCGTTCAAGTACTTCACAACCACACATTCTAGGTAAAACTATGTAAGACCCTATACCATAATTTAAATATGGATAATATTATCTTAAAAATTCTTCTAAAATAACCAAAATAATGGTAGAAACTTTGAATCGTTGTTGAAAGAATAGCCATGAACTTTTGAGTTTCACGTATATTGACTTTTGGACTAAGTTTAGTTTCGGAGGCGTTTAGCCTTGAGAAGGATTCTGACCAAAAAAAACTTTGAGAAGGGTTACCATACCTTGGGATAGGCGTTCGACTTGTATAGCGGTCCAGATAAGTGAGATGGTAATTTTGGTGTTTCCAGGTACTTTATTTTTTAAGAGATCAAGAATGATTATTGATTAAGATATTGATGATCCAATATATTCCAACTTCCAAGATCACTTAAGATGATTTTAGAGGTTTGAAGTTGAAAAAAAGAAGTTTGAAAGTATGTCGGCCCTTAAACGCATTTTGGAGAGAATTCGAATAGCAATAAATTTGACATTATTTTAATATTTTAGCCACAACTTTTACTCTAATGTCTAATTGAGTTGATTTTTGCAGCATTGGAAAGAATACTTCAAGCCCTACAAAAATGTATTTCATAAAAATTACATGAATCGACATCTAACTAAGCCAAAACTATCTTGAAAGTTTGGGCAAAAAGTTAGATCCGTCCGAACAAAAAATAAAAAAGGGAGATATTAGGAGCAGGAGCCATCCGAACAGAAACGTGTTTTTTAGCCTAATCAGCTCCGCACTGCCTGATTAGTTTTTAGCCCTATGAATACCCTAGTACTTTACATGATTTTTGTAGTACCCAATAAATTCAGGACACATGTCTATACCATAACAAGACAAATGACAGTAATTATCAGTTGGTATGGAAGTGGGGCCCGATAAGATTCAACTGGACTGGTATGGATAATAGTACCAATTGCAACACCCCCAGGTGCAACACCGTAACAAGGAGAAACATATCCACATCGAATTGGAAGTACCAAAATGGACCCTTCACCAAGAGTGAAACCGCATCAATATGAGGCAACCTTAGTGAGACTCACCTTCCTCACTACAAGAGTGGTATCCTCAACCTACTAGACACTGTTACTTTACTGGCCCACTAGATTAAGAGGAGGGGTCTCCACCTAGGAACATGCCAGTATGACCTTCCTCGAGGGAGAACTAAGCAACGGGGGCAGACGAGCATAACTGTCAACCTCAGTCTAAGATGGAATATGTGAATTGGTGACTGAATAACCGAAATTATGTGAATTTTCTCTATCGAGCATCTCGACAAAGGTCTCAAGGAAGGGTTTAGAGAGGGAAGGGAGGATCCCGGGAAAGAGCACGCTAAGACATAACGTGCATGTCCCTCTTGAGGTCATGGTCCTGCAGTGACCAACTGCGATCATTAACCTTGGGAGTCCTCCTTTTTGCCTCGACTATTGCACTTTCCCCGGAGCCGTGTCCAAGTTGCATTTAGGGGAAACGTCACATCTGCCTAGTTAATGTTGGGACACATGACTCATGGTTAGTAGCCACTAATATCGCCACGGTCATTGCAAGCAGCCCTTCGGACAGTCCAACCTGTCCGGACACTATACTATAAATTCCCGCATTATTTACCCACTGCGAAAGAAAAGATTTTTACTTGGTTGGTGAGAGCATTTTACTCTATCTACCCTCTACCCAATTGGTTGGTCTCTTCATTAACAAGTTGTTCGAATTCCTTCCATCTCATCCGCTTATCCTACTCATCCCCTTTAATTACCCTTAACATAAACACGTGTGTTACTCTCTTTTAAATCCCCACCTACACTTTTCAACCCTAAAAAACCTAGAAGAGTCTTGGAGAGAAAAAATAAAGGGAGAGTAGATCGGGCTATATTTTGAAAAGATTCATGTATAAAGAATCACCTAAAACACTTGAGGAACAATTTTCTTCAGAATTAAGGTAGGGTTTATTTCCTTTTCCTATTCATTGAGGCAAGGACTACTATCTATATACTTTTTGAATTCTTATTCTTATATATGATTAATCTACAACTGTTTTGAATTCCTTTCAATTAAATGATTCTTTTTGTAGGAAAATACCTAATTTACATCCAAATTGTACGTTTTGA